TGGGAACACGAGAGTTAAAAATGGATGAATTTATTCCACTTTGAATTTGATGTGGAAACATAAAAATAAAATGAAAAAATAATAATCAGATTTAAATATGAAAAATTTTGCCCAATTATAATTAATTATATATGTTTCTCCAAAAAAAATGTATATATTCTTCCTATACTTAAGTACCCACAGAAATGTTGCATCTGAACATATTAATTTCATAATCTATATTCCATGACTCGAGATGGCGTCTTAGGAATAATTTGTTTTATTATAAATCTATAATACTTTTTTATTAATTAAGTATCTTATTAACCGATGAAAAGTAATACCTTGGTTTTTACTGACATTTCTTGAATTATTTGTGCAATATCTAAGTACACACGATGGCATATTTTTATCAAGAGATTTTTTTTAAATCAACACAACACGTGATAACTCTACAAGCGCCTAGCAAGTGACTGATTTAAGTGCGGTGTATGCACCTCAGTTGAGTGGAACAGAGTAGCTGAATGCAGTGTCGCCTCTAGTACGTAGTACATAATAGCTCAATGATAATTTATTATATAATTACATAAAATGTTATTTATTAAATGGAATTATAATTTACACATCTTGTTTTATTTATATGTTGAATTATTTCAATATTTCGCTAATTTTATTTATAGAATAAGGGTGACAAACGAGCACACAGTCAGAGGGTAAGTGGATGCTGTGGCCCATAGACATCTACAATTGTTTATCCTCGATAAAGAATCAAAATGCATATGCGTTTTCACCCCTGAGGGCTATGATGAAACGCCTCATTAAAAATGGTATCCAGTGTTCTACACTACTATACGAAACACAGCAGCATTAAGTTGCTATTCTATGCTGTTATTGTATGATAGAGTAGTCTTTCCCCGATCGAGCTGACCCATTCGCGCTACGACCATATTATAGCTGCAGCGTGGCTGCACCAAGTCTATCTATTAATTGAATAAAAAATATAAAAATTTCCCTCTGGTGGCTTATGGTTTTAACCTCAGAGTAAAAATGGAGGGCTACGTACATTTCAATTAATTTAAAAATCATATTCATCGCTCTTCAGTTTATGTCGCAACATAGTATATTATACTTGGATTGAAAAAATATACCTAATCATATCTTCTTGCGATGCGATACACAAAGTGCGTCAAAAGCCGTTTAGGAATGTGTGTCAGCACATGACCAAAAGCAAGGAACAGGTAATAGTGAAGCGAAACCTGGCAGCAGAGGAGATAACATTCAAGGTAGGTGAAATAGTTTATAAGCAGGTGGCTAAAACAGCGAGAAACGATAAAATCAAACCGGCATTTAAAGGACCGTAGGTATAAGATTATTCACTTCCATCCTAATAATGTAGCAGAGATAGAAGGAAACCATCCTAATTCTAGGTCTATGCGCTTTTTAGCTTTTACGAAGAACCCATCTTGTTCCAGTACAACCTTCTTCGGAGCCTTCGTGTTCCAGGCAAGATCCGACACAACATTTCAACCCAATTACATAAAACATTTAGGGGTCAGATAGAACACAAATTAGTTTTAATTAATAAGAAAATAATTTTTATTGCACCTAGGATTAGATTTAGGCGCAGTATTCTATACGGACTAGGTTCCGTAGTGAAGTTAATAACCGGTAATTTAGATAACAAAGACGCTATTCGATTTGAAAGCGAAATCAATAATATTCGTAATTTGGTCCATAAAACCCAAAGCTCACAGAAGCGAACGCTATCTTTGGCTGAAAATACTATAAAGGAATTTTCGAAACAATTAATCAAGATGATAACCAAAAGAGATTAACATCTATACTGAAAAACATTTCGATTAATTCCGATACAGTAAGAAACCAGTAGCACTTTTTAGAGATAATTCAAATAAGTTTCAGTTTACAGATTATTTTAGATAAGTTAATGCTGCTGGAAGATGCTATGGCATTCTCGCAATAAGGTATAATGCATTCTACCCACGAAATTTAGTTTCGGAACTTAGTAATTTGCAGAATAACTTTTTACTATATCCAGTCGAGGAGATTAATATTGAAAATATTCATAAGGTAGAAAAGTATATTAGCCTTAAAGCCTATAGTACAGAACGTTCTTTAACATTTATATTAGAAATCCCATCCATCCAACCTTCGTTATAAGATATATGTATATACATATATGTATTCCTTACCAAACAACCTAAACTTAACCATTATACCAAAATCCAAATTCCCCGCACCTGAAAGCGATGATTACGCCTACCTGGAAGAAGAGTGCAAGAAGCTATCAGAAGATACCTGCCTCTGCAAATCACTGGATACTAGAGCCATAGAGGAATCTGAAGATTGCATCATCTCACTCATCAAGCATAAAGATGGTTACTGCACTCGTGCACGCATGAACCTGAAGCGAGCAAAATTGCAGAAGATTGAAGAAAATAAGTGGTCGGTAGTATCAATGGAACCAGAAATTACAAAAATGTGGAACCAGAAATTAAAAAAACAATGCGGACTGAAAACAGAATATAGGAAACTATCAGGAACATTTTTCATCAACCTAACACAGGACTGTCAAGTTAATACCATAAATACAACGATAAGAACACACACTAGGAGCATATCTATGAACGAAGTCATCCCTCTATCCAACGAGAACCTAATACACCAGGACGATGTCTAGCACGTGATACATATTGAAGACAGTCTAACTATTATGCAGTCAGACATCATCCACAGATCACTTAACTTCTTTTTGTAATTTTACATTTTATTTGAATTTATTATTTTTGTTATATTTCCGAAATTAATATATTAGGTATATATTAAAAAAGTCTTTCGATTGTCGCCATATCGTAACTCGTTAATTTTTTTTCTCATCAAATTTATTTCGTTTTCTAAAAGTTTTTCATCTAGTCATAACCAGCACCTATTTTAATTTAGTATTCACCAAAGTACACCTTCAGGTCACTCCATAAAGACCAAAACATATAAGTACATTATATATAAATCCTACGTACTTTTAGCGAAACAATATATTGTAATAAAAATCTGTGAATATAAAATAATAATAATGTGTTATCTTGTTCAAGTATGTATCAGATTTGGTTTTTGGAATATTTAGTATTTCTACAGCGATCAATATTTTTCAGCATGAGCCGCTGTAAACAAACGATAAAGTTAGGAATGAAAGAACAATGTCCAAAATCGCCCTGTGAACATCGGATATACACGATAATCAATTATCTATTTATATTAGTTGCAAATTCAACTTCAATAACACGGACTAGCTGCATGCCAAAATGAACATTAAAAAGTATTCTATTCGACTAATAACATTAATCGCCGCCATCTTCGCCAATTTAGTAAAATATATTATAACAAGTTTGCCCCAAACACCGAATATTTCGGATTTCCTCAGCCGAAAAAATGTCATTGATGTAGCAAATATTACGCACAAAACTGTGAATTTCATTAATATAACTAGCTTCTGCCCGCGACTTCGTACGCGGATCCTGTTGCTTATGCCAGCGACAACGGGGTCGTCAAAATCGAATTCAAAGAGCCCGGGGACGGGAAAACAACGTGATGCGCGAGACGATTCGAGACGTTCCAGATCTTTCATTTTTGTAAATCAACAGGAAATGCCCATCAGACTAAACAACTTTTGCTAAGACGTCATTCCTTTAAATGTTATTATGTCGCTGGGCTTTGGAGTTCCACAACAGGTGATCCAGATCTTCAAATTTATTCTCACAGCAGAAAGTACTCTTCACGTGGAATATTTTTTGCTATGGCACCATTTTTATATCTCTTATACTTTAGCTGGTCTGCTGCGGTTCTGCATCAGGTGTTCCATTTTCCAAAATAAATTATAGCCTATATGTTGCCTAGACTTATCGCCTATACAATAAAAAACTTTTCAATATACGGGATATTTCACCGATCCGGTGCGGAATGCACTACAAAAAATTCTTTATAAACTATACATATAAGTATTTTTTATTCTATTTTTATTTTAATAATAGTGATAGTTTGTTGATTTACAGAAACACTCAAAAGACGCATCCCATACTTATACTAAAGCTTAGATACCTACCTCAAAAACTATTTAGCTTAGTAAACTCAAAATTTGAAAGTTATGTAGTTAATTTACTGGTAAAAGACGTCAGGTTAATAAGGAAATTTTGGAGACGTCGAATAACAGAAGTGTTATAATTTACTGTAACACTTCTGCGTAAACAACGTTCGTAGCTTTTCCCTCGGTCTCATTCAATATGTATAGCGAGTCAGGACTGGTGACGCGGGAGCAAGCGTCGTACAGTTGTCCGTGTGAGAAGCAGCTCGTCCTGAGGTCGACACCCGCAGCCTTCAGTGTCTGCCCCTGCGACTTATTTATTGTCATGGCGAAGCACACGCTCACAGAAAACTGCACGCGCTTGAATTGAAAGGGGTAATTGTGGGGAATCAGTGGTATACGTGGTATAAACACTGTTTCGCCGACACCACAATCCGTTAGAATTTCCGCCTCAATGATATTTCTCCGCAGCGAGACGACTTTGAGCCGGGTCCCATTGCACAGTTTTGGCGGAGTGAGATTCCGAAGAAGCATAATTGGGACACCATCCTTTAGCTTAATGGTGTGCGCTGGCAGTCCACTTGCACTGAGGGAATTGAGAAATTCTACGGGGTAATGTGTGGCGTCATCTAGGTCGACCACAGTTCAATTTCCGCGAGAATGCATTCATTGATCGCTGAAGCTTGGTCGTTTTTAGGGTTCCGTAGTCAACTAGGAACCCTTATAGTTTCGCCATGTCTGTCTGTCCGTCCTCGCTTAATCTCTGTGGCCGTTAGCACTAGAAAGCTGAAATTTGGTACCAATATGTGTATCAATCACGCCGACAAAGTGGTAAATAAAAATTGGAAAAAAATGTTTTATTAGGGTAGCCCCCCTATATGTAAAGAGCGAAGTGATTTTTTTTTAATTTCAACCCTAACGTGTGATATATTGTTGGAAAGGTATTTAAAAATGAATACGGGTTTATTAAAATCATTTTTTGATAATGTCAATAATTTCGGAAATAATCGCTCCAAAAGTAAAAAAACAATGTGTGTCCCCCCCCCTCTAACTTTTGAACCATAAGTTTAGAAAATATGAAAAAAAATCTGAAAAGTAGAACTTTATAAGGACTTTCTAGGAAAATCATTTTGAACTTGGATGGAAACAACAGTACCCACTACCAAGAGCAGTTGCAGGAGCGCGGAGCACTGCTGGAGCACGAACATAATGGATACCCACCTTTAAACTCATAAGTGGGAACACTTATTGTGACGGACGGGAAACTACGGAACCCTACACTGAGCGTGGCCCGACACGCTCTTGGCCAGTTTTTTGGGTGTTAAAATGGCTCGATCACACACCCAAGAATTATCTTGGTGCGGTATCCTATTGATGTCCCCGTACACCAGGCGAATCAAATCTTCTAAGGTGGACACCACTCTCCCAAGTATCTCAGGTAGAACCACCTGGCCACTGTCTACTTGTAGCGTTCCCTCACCCAATTTTAAGAGAACATCAGAAAATTCTTGGGCGTGTACATTCCCGCCAAGCTGTGCTCTTATATTCATCGCTAAGCGCAACCTATTGTAGGTGTGCTGCGCACACATATACCGCATGTATACTTTGCAATATTGTATCTATATACTTAGTGAATAAGATTTTTTAGTTAGTCACTAGTTGCCCGCCAACTGTATTGCACGTTCCCCTATAATAAATATTAGCAAAAGATTTCATCTTTTATTATGGCCGTTACGAGACAAGTATCAAATATAATAAATATATTAATTATATTTGATACTTGTCTCGTAATCATAGAATTAGTCCAACGGATTGAACGTTATCGGCTCCCTTCCAATGATTCACAGATCAGCGTAGAGTTGTACATAGACATGGATAGAGGGCGGCTTAATCGGTATGGCACGCGGGCGTTCAAACAGCTAGCAGCGGGCCTGAGTTCTAAGTCTTGACTTTTCATGGTTTCAGATTAATATTTTTCATGAATGAAAACCGAACTTTCAGAGTGCGTGGCTGCAAGGCCGTGGGTGTATCACCCACGTAAGTTCTCACGATGGAAAATAAAGACGGTACTTGGGATCCTTTCTACCTTTTCTCTGTGTGAAGAATAAAAGATGAAAATAAAAGAAACAATAAAATTATTTTCTTTATTTATATCTGTTGCAGTGCTTATTATATTAAATCAGTTTTGTATGAATCAAAATAGTTTAAACTGACACATTTTATGTACCTACATTTAAACTGACAAAGAGTTGTTGATATTCAATGGGAAACACCTCTAAAGCAATGGCACTACAAATCAGAACTATTGTTCAGTTTTGAACTAAACAGATTTTACACGCATAAAATAATCAGAAAATATTATAATTTAAATTCGAAACATAGAATTGATGACCAGTTTCATTACTGAAAGAGACAATTTTATTAAACATTAAGTAATAAAACCCAAGCTTTAATAAGGTAACAGTTTTAAAAGTAAAAGTTTGTTGCCTTCTATATCGTGGTTGTTTGTTGTAATAAAAGGGTCACCATTTGTTTACCCAAACAAATTTCATCGATTTGTTTTCCTTTTTTTGAATTGCAATGTAATTAAGTACTCGATTAGCATAGCATAGCGAAATTGTAAACTAATATATATTAATTAATGTAGCAGAATAATCATTTTTCCAAACAGGCATTTTTATTTCTAATTTATAAGACATCGTTTTACAATGTGAAAGTAAACCTTATCGATATCGTGTTATCTTATCTTTGTGGTTGGCTTATGTTTGGAAACAAATATTTAGAACAATATCCAAGGATATCTACTTCAAGTGCCTGAAATTTATGGCCTAGTAATTATTTTGAAACATGTGCGAGTATATTTAAATCTTGGTCATTTCACAAACAACAGAAATTTATATTATAAAATTAATGTTTGTTTTAAATAAAAATGAATTATTTAGTATCTACAGATATGGGCCATGTAATATCCAATGTACAAAAATTTTTCATCAACATCTATTTTGTAATTATTTCGTTAATTAAATTTATATACTGTTATTTGAGCTTAAGAACGTGAGTAGAGTGGTCGAGACCAAATATAATGCCGTTACTGTTTTAGAAAATATTTTTTTATATTTAAAAAGCTTGACTAATTTTAATTAAACTTGACTAAAAAAGAGCTAATTTATCTGAATACCGACGTCACACATTAGATACTTATCAATAACGTGAGCCACCAGGGTGTCTACAAGCGATCTATTATGCCGCAATATATATGCGGCGTATTTGATTCCGCGTTTCACGTGATATCGAATCCTATAATCCTCCGCCATTTTGCGACTAGCATATTTTAATGAACACTGAACACTAAAACATCGCATAATAATATAAAAAAGCAAGGATTCGTTCGTGAGACTGAGATCAAAAATGGGCGTGCCAAGAACGTAACACGAATATTTTACAATATTAAAATGAAACCTACTTTAAAGTTTTATTTGTATTCATTGCAGTAAAAAAATATTAAAGTTAAAATGAAAAGCGACATTAGCCTAGGTATAACTAGAAATATTACTCTGATATTATCATCACTATTAATTTACAGTATCGGAAACTATCATTAAATAAAGCAAAAACTAAATGGTAAATGGAACATGTAACTCATATTGTAGTGGTGAGTACAGGTTGTCATTTGGATCAAGTTTGGTTGTAAGTTATTATTCCAGTTTAACTGTATGTAAGCGACTGAGGTACTCCATTGACAGTCTTAGATTTAAGAACCCCGTTTTCGTAAGACATTATTGTTTCTCGTCCATTTTCCGTGATCCTGGAAACAAAAAATAACCCTAAAATAAAAAAATTTAAAAAATCATTAGGTAATAAAAATTGCTAAAATAAAGCAAACTTAATTTCATTTGAGTATAGAGGACAGTGCCGTACAGTGGCCTTGCAGGCCGCGAGCCCTGAGACAGATGAAGCTGTAAGAGCCGCATAGACTAACAGCACTAACATCTAGATAATAGTACAGTGGCGGTGTAAGAATATCCAATACCCCACATCATCCCGTGGGTGTCGTAAGAGGCGTCAAAGGGAAACAAATCAGGAACAGCGTCTTCCTAATAACGAATAAAAATAAACTGCGGTTGCCAACGCGCTTGCCAAGCGTGGCAACAATGCCAATTGTTCGCCCTATGCGGCAATCTATGGGGAAGACCTGTGTTCAGCAGTGGACTTTTAACAGGCGGAGATAGGCTGGATGTCACATACAATGGCGTCATGCTATTTATTCGCACTCTGCGTCTTTAGTTGTTAAATAATGAAACCTAAACAAAATTCAAATTCAAGCGTTTTATCGAGCCTAAGGTCAAGTTGGCATCAAAAATTTAGGCGTTCTGTTTATGATACAACAAAACCAAAAGGACAGCTTCTTAACCTAAAAAAAACCTTAAGTTTGATCTTGCATGATGAAGTACTGCTGCTATCTTTGATCTGCCAAATACCATTTAGCCGTTTAGCGGATTTACTCGAAAATCCTTCAAAATAAAATTGCCTATCTGTCACTTTAGTTATAGGTCGCATTTTGGAAAACAATTCACCATCGGTCGCCAAGATCATCCATCAACATTATCATTACTGGAATGCTACTTGGCACAGTTCTGAGCCACCCGCATCCATCGACTTCCTGCACGAACCTTTGATCCCCATCGGTTGTCGGTTATTTTAGCTTTCGATTAACTTCTTCTTTGCTTCTATTGCACCTACTACCGCAGATAATTGATCGCCAAGATGCACGGAAATATTCTATCCTTTTGTATTTGACGTGCGCGCACTTTTGTTGGTCTCTTTGAAGCATGAGCAAATAGGCTTCTATTAGATTAACATAGTTATCATTCTGAACACTATTGGTAGGTTTGTTGACAATCAATTACCTATTTTATGAATAAAAAAACACGAAGAATATAATCTATACTTAAAAGTAAAGTTGCAGCCTAATATATGGTCTACTGGGACATATATGTCTCATGTTTAAGTGGGACTCGTAACAAAAAAATGTGTCAACTGTGTTACAAGCCTAGCATGTCGTAAGTATACGGCGACTAATGGGATAGTGCCACCTATTACTTCTTTCACAACTTTCCATCTATACAACACGTAACACAATTAATGCACTTTGAGAAAGTAGTTTGTTCAGAATCGTTTACTGAATCGATTCCTATCATTTTAATATAGGTAATTTTTTATCCCAAAAATAATACATTACGTACGTAATTTACGTACGTACCGTATAAATAATAAATTACATACGTAAATTACAGTCACACTAAATCTGTACAGTCATCAATGGACGGTCCATTTCAGTTTGTTATGAACTTAAGGCAATAAGACTTTTAAGAGTGCAGTTTCATTTGTATTATTACTAATTCTGTCATTCAATAAAAATAAATAAAATGAACTTTATTTTAAGCACGTTAAAGTCTTTGCGTTCGTGGATTTGTACTGTGACCACAACATTCTTCCGGAATTAGTATAACTAATTTGATAAATAATCAGTGCATAAAAATGTTTAACTAAAAATTCAGTGTATGTATTATGATTATAACATAATATACTAATTGGGGTGTCTGAGAGTGTGCGTTAATTACGTTACATGTGCATGTAATTACATAGGTGTGCGTTAGTTACATATTGTATAGAATTTTTCGGTTAAGCGTTGGCAGCAGCTGTATGTGTGTATACACTCTATTGCTGGCTACAAGCCTACTTTTATTCTGAGAGTATAATGTAATAATTATTGCGCAGCAGTACTTCAGGGAGTGTTATTGCGCTTATTCACAAGTCTCCGGAATATTTTATTCCTCATACACACAAATTTCGTTGCGAAGGTTTACACCAAATAACTTGCTTTTGGATGTCAACTAAACCAAATGCCATTACCATATGCAGGTACTCATATCAATTTGAACGATAAAATACATGAATTAGTAGATTACAGTCGCTCACAATGTGAACCTCATATTGAGGGACAAGGGTCAAGAAAACTTAGTTCCGCTGTATATACAGTAAAAAAGTGAAGGCTGTTAACTGATGCGAATACAGCAAGATCAGTTTATTGCAGCAATTTCCAAGTGTTATGTCCTATGGATTATATTATATTATTGTGAGTTGTCACCCCTGAGGACTAAAATGGAATGCCTCGTTTCCAGTAAAAAATGGTCCCCGGATCTCTACACTCACCATACGAAACACAGCAGTATTAAGCTGCTATTTTACGCTGGTAAGTATTCTGTGAGAGCGTTGTACTTCTCCGGCACGAGAGTCGACCCATTCATGCTACTACCATGATATAGCTGCAGCGTGGCACTACCACGTATAATGTAAGAGACTACTTTAAAACCTTTACAAAATAAGTGAAGCCCACATTTAAAACACGCGCAATAAATCTAAACTTACTATTCCAATGTACAGACTCCATAAAAACAAGCAGCTCTTCTTTTACTAAATGTATAGCTATTTATAACAATTAACATTCCCTGTAATATACTAATATTACAGGGAATGTTAATTGACTTGCCTTTGCATAAATTCAAAGTGCATACAAATAGAATTCTTATAAAGAATGGATTAAGGTACCTGCGGATAATAAAGCCTAGCGAAGTGACATTTGAATAAAATGTGAAAATATCCAATTTGTTCTACATAATAATAAAAATCGTTAGATTAGTACAGTTTCTAAAAAGCATGAACGAAAAATTGTAACATTTGCCATAAAGAAAAACAAAATTAATCGTTTCTAAAAACTTTGCTAGTAGGCCTTATTTTACCTATGGCCTATGGTTGGATAATAAGGCCTACTGCTTTAACGCCAATCAAAATACGTAATATATTTAATATTTGTGATCAATAATTACCAAAATGCAGCAATTACGACTTAAAGTTCTAAAAAAATATAATCTTCCTCGTCTAAAAGCACTTAGTCAAGTCATTATTATAATCATGAATAAACTGACAAACAACGCACTCTTCGTGATTATCATCAGTGCTTCGGTTGTGTCTAGAGTAATCGAGTTAGACGAGTTTTAGATTGAGTTGAGTGTTGGGTTGAGTGTTCTTTAACTGAATTTTCGTCCCAGCGGCCAGTCTTCATGGAGACTAGCCTATCTGCACAGTACAGAATTATAGTCTGTGAATGTGCAAGCACAGGTGCACTCTCTATTCCCTCACAATCATCAAATCGCAATCCAACACGGTTCGAGAGAGCTTAGGGGCAGGACGAATAATTCACACATAACTTAGTAGCTTCTAATGTTAAAGCCCAAATTCTTCGACACACTTTATCTTTGCATTGATTGTACAGCTGAAACCAGGTCGTTTTCTGACTACGATATTAGTTTAGTAATAAAAGCGTACAATTTATTTGCATTTACAATATTTTTAAAGTCATATAAAATACATTATAAAAGAAAAAAAAAACTACACGCGGAGAGGGAGTATAATAAAGCCTATGGTGAAATTTAGTAGTCCTTAATAACCGCCGACCAAGTATTTAAGAAAAACCGTATTTAAAAAAATTACGACAATACGTTATTCAAATCTTCAAGACCAACAAAGCATTTATTCACACAGATAAAGATTGTGATTTTAGATAGCTAAGTGTAATATAACAAAACATAATATCTAATATTTATTTAGACTGATTTTTATTATTGGTCCAGTCACGGTAATTTTATCTACAGTATTACAACATTCATACAAACGGACGAAGCGAGAGCTATGCCTACGCGCCTCGATCTCGGCATGCGCTCGGCATGCAGACAGTCGTGACTGTGCCGCAGTGATGATTTGCGAAATATATAAAAAAATGGAGGAAATAAATAGTAGAATAGAAATAAAGAAATAATAAATCCGAACTTCATTTAAAATCAAACATATAAATTGTAAATTAGCTGCAGGTATCTATAACCAATTAAAAGATATTCCTTTTCTCCACGTTGTCCATGTTTCCCAAAACAATTTTTAATGAAGCTTTATATTACAAAGCGGATTTTTTATATTTAAAAATCTAATAATAAAGCATTTCGTAAGTCTCAGCCGAGGGCAAATATTTTTCGGTCGCAAATTTATAAGACCGATTTGTTATTAAAACATAAACATGGTTTTTTAATTAAATCTACCAATCAAAAAACGACACGCATTTTTATTGAACATTTCCTATTCAATTCACAAAGTACCTACTATATTTGTTTATATAAAAAAGTAAATTTACAATCATAAAACTAAATGGAAACACAAAGTAGGCAGGCAGCCCTATCGCTTTTATTGTTTTATTGTTTACGTACCGCGCGGCTGTAGGCATTTATTTGAAAGATACGGCCGAGTTACAATACTGTATAGATAATATTACCGTGGTCCAGTGCCAAAGAATATATACACTACTCAAACCAGTGGGGACGTATCATAAGATAAATAATACAACTCTGGTGGCAGGACGTGGGGTAGCGCGTCTCTTCAAACTAGTAGAGACATTATCGTGTAATAGGAGTATGTTGTTATCTCCTTGAGCGAGAGTGGTTATTATAAATACGACTTTTGTTACTTAGGCCTTATTAGTCGACAGGCTTTATTACCCGCAGATACCTTATATAAATAAGATGACTATTTAAAAGATAAGAATGGACATACGAGTAATAAGCTTCTTTGGACTTTTTTACTTATGTACGTATTTTATAAGGTAAAAGTTAACTATAGTTAACTATAGGGAGTAAAATAGTCTACTTGTGATTTTCTTGCCACTTCTTACAATTACAATGTCTCCATCTAGTAGAGTTCTTGGAGTGATGGTGTAACTTTTGAATTTCAAAAAAGTACTCTGTAAAAGCCAATTTTTAATAAAAATACTTGACTATGACAAGGACTATTCTCCCCTGTGTCCTCCTTTTATGGCTATGACTGTATGTTTTTTTTTTTAATTTCTTTGCTGAATGTAATACGATATAACTGGATAGGTTTAGTAATTTTAGCATTTCATTCATTTTCATTCACTTAAGGAAAAAAAAAAAACGATGAAACATGGACATGGTAGATACTGAATGTATCGTAAAAAATATTTGGTTTAGGGTCATTATTCAGACAGAAAAAATTAAATTCTCCAGACCTAATTTAGGTCACAGCAGCAAGTCTCAACGGAGACCAGCCATCTGCGCAGTACAGTATTGTAGTGCACGAATGTGTGCACAAGCACAGGTGCACCCTCTGTTCCCTCACTTTCATATTCCGACATGAAACAGGTAGCAATCAGGCTTTGGACCAACAATTTCACGTGCTTTACGTTGTAGTGCTCAGTTAACAACTTTATTGGCTCATTATTTGCTTATCAAGTACTCACTTTTTAGTAGTGATCTTTTTTCCGTTGACAATGCGCGTGGTTGTTGTGGTACTCTTCACATTGGGGCTGCCGGGGCCCGCAAGCGAGCTGTTGAAAGTCGAAAACGACGTGAACGTGTTCCCGTTGAATGCGGCATGAGCGAATGCGTCGTCAAGACCCTGCAATCCCAGCCCGAACGGACTGAACAGGGATGAAGTGAGCGACGTGCTCGGGTGACTCCTGCGTCCATGCCGATGATGATATCCGTGTCCATTTAAATCTGTTAAAATGTTTTAGATATTTATTTTGTGTTGTTTTAACTGTAAGCGTTGTTTGTCGTTGTTTGTCGTTTTGTATTTTTGTAAATAAATTCTATTGCGTTATACATGATAGGTGTAAGACTAAAACATGTAAACAATAATAGTAATATTATAACAGTAGAAAACATTGATGTACAAGGGCACAACAATGTCGTCTATAGTGTATAAACATTTATAAATGTTTATTTGCGACCAAAGGAATATTTGACCATCACACATTCCCAAACATCAAAACACAGCATTTAGCTGTGATTTAGCTCTCTGTTCTTCTTGAGATAGTCACAACATGTTGTGGTGGTTTTTACTTGTGCTACAACATGAAAATGTTTTGGAAACAATTTAGAACATATCATTGTTTTCATGGAGCGTTTTCAATCTTTGAGTCAATCTTCTTCCAAACTTTTATCGCAAGTTATTTGGGGTTGGTATATCTTCTCTATCATCTGTCATCTCATCACTCACTTCTTTCTTCCGTATCCGTAGCCTCACACAATTCATTAATCTTTTCCTAGGTATCACTCTACTCTTATATCCAAACACTTTCATATAACTTTTATATCACGAATAAAACAGTTTGTTTTCCTTTATAAAGTTGCACCACACGATTATAATGTAATATGTGTTTCATTATGAGATTCCCTTACCATGATGCTTGATCTAGTGCCCATTTTATGGCTGTGAAGCTTATGTAAGCCGGACAAATGAAAAAGTTACAGTATGAATCTTGCATGTGTCAATAAGACACTAGATGTTACAAATATACCTTGATTTATTTACCAGCAAACAAATCACCAAACGGAGAGCCACCAAAAAATTCTCGGAACACCTCCTCGGGATCTCGGAATGTGAATGGGAAGCTGTGATATCCGAACTCATAGTCGTCATCGGCGGCGGAACGACGGCCACGCGAACTGTTAAGACCTTCTTTGCCATATTGATCATATACACGCCGTTTTCTTTCTGCATTTAAATAAAGTATTAAGCTTACAAAAAGTAAAGAAAATTTATTTAAAACTCCAAAAAAGGTTGTCATTATATACATTTTTTTAAAATAATGTGCAGAGGTTAAATTTAGCAAACATAAAAATATACTTAGATAGGTACTTTGTTAGTCAGTGAAAGTTTATTGTCAAATCAATTTTTTTAACTTTTTTAAATTAAATTTTGACTTAGGAAACTATACAAACATAAACACTTATGTACTTATAAAATTAAACTCTGTAACATGTTATCAACAACACTGTTTTATAAGTTGCTTTAAAATTATATTTTTTATTTTATATTTATTATTATTCATAGTTTTTTCAAGAACTATTTTTATATAATATATACTACTAATCTTGCATAAATGTACATTGGGTACATAAATTTTTCTCCTAGGCATATAAAATATTTCATAAATTACTCATTCAGGAAACTGAAGAGGTTAATGTTTTTATTGACTATCAGTTTCATATAAACTATCATGACACATGTATTTGACTAACTAAATTATACTTGGTGACGTCATTAAGACATTCATATGTGTTTGTAGCAACATGATATATACCTAGCCCTCTAATGGTTCAAATTAATTTTAGAGAAACACTAATATGTACTCTCATATCTATGTTTGTAATAGATAAGGTATATAACATACTATTTGTGGGAGAACTAAACAAAGGTTATTAAAATGTATGGATTTAATTAAACATGTTGTTTATTACAAACTATTGAAGCATGAATATTAAAGCGGAATCTTTAAGGCCTTATCAATAAAATAATCGAAATCATTTACTTAATAATTTAACAAAATAATATTACATATAAGGATCAATCACCACATTCACAAATAATTTTAACAATATAATTGATATGTATTGATAGGGCCCCCCTTGTTAAGTGATGTCATGCAGTGATAAAACTTCGAATTGAAACCAAGTCACAGTTCACACCAAATATTGTTGCACTCAGAATTCAAGATTGTTAGTAGTTAATTCAATAACCAAATCAAATTGTTATTTGCTTTAATATTTATCTGAATATTATCACTTTGTGTCCCATTTTACAATTGCATGATGTGTGGTATACAGTTATTAATTGGTTATTAAACAATGAGATGTAAAACTAACAGAGAAGCTACTACCCCCTAACAACCCACTGTCATGAAATATTAAGCTTAACACTATCTAAAACATTTTTCTGATGTAATGGATTGAAAATTGTTAATCTTGTTATGAATTTGCTGCAAATAAATAGTAAACAAGATATTTTATCTAAAAAATAATCAATACATGAATATGAATGACTCAATAATCATAATTTATATAATTTAGAAAAATATATATTTGGAATAAAATGATAATATTCATAATATTAAATTAAGAACTAGCCCTACATTAAATTGACAACTACCAAAAAACCGATGAAAAGGCGTCTCTCCAAAAAACCCCTTGAAGCTAAAGTGTCGGTGCCCATTAACTCCATTCTTGCTTTGATATCTGTGACTGTGGTGACTGGAACCCCGTGCATCATATATTTTCCGCTTGTTTTCTACCCAAGAACAAGATTATAATGTACACTTATTATGAGAATGTGAATACATGCAAAAGAGGTAGCTGTAGATGCTGGACACAACATAACTTCCTGCTGGCTACAATAATAATAAAAGATGAATGAGAATATGTCAATTAAGGGAGAATCAAGAACCTGATAATTTCATAACAAAAATTAGTATGCCATCTCATAATAATATTTTTAGGTTACAATTTTTCTTTTCTTTATTGTTTTTAAACTTTGAATGTTTAAATATTTTGTTATTAAAAATGCTAAGTAGTGCAGTTAATAGAAATATTTTTTTAATAATAAATATATTTTTGGGAAGGCATAGTAAATATTAACCTAGAATTTGCTACCTATCAAGGATTTTATGTGGACAATTCAAAGTAAATATATTTCGCTTTTCAGGAAATAAAAATATAGTGAATCAGAATAGTCCTTATGGTTAAAATATTGCAAACCATATACAATTATGCAGAATTTTAATGTGACTCATTTATTGTCAATAAATTCAAAGCTGTCAGTATATATTTTTTCTATTGTATCTTAAAGTTAATTCATAGTTAATAACGGCTTATTGTAGATACAAACTCATTTTATAATCTTACCATCAGAAAGGACTTCATAGGCTTCAGATATTTCTTTGAATCTTCTATTAGCCTCATCTGCATTATCAGGATTCTTATCAGGATGCCATTTCAGAGCTAATTTTCTATAACTGTGTGCAAAAAAATAACAATTCATTTAGACTGCTAACAAAATGTTAAAATAACCATACAGAATCTTTAATTAACTTTTAAACCATTTTTTTTAATTTGCAAAGCTCAAATTACAAAATGTGATAAAAAGCCTCAAAGTGTGAGATACATACGCCTTCTTGATTTCCGCTTCAGTAGCAGTTTTTGATACACCCAATGTTCTGTAGTAGTCCACCATAGCTAGTTTCCCACAAGGGGGTGAATTTATCTAAAAAAAGGGGAGGAATTTAAGTGCCATAAAAAAAAGACAACACAAAATGGAGATACTGACTGGAGATCCAATAATTCTTTTTAAAATTATAATTGTAAATAAGCAATAAAAGGTTTATATTATTGTCTAAAGTTTGACATAGCACCCGCCTTTGACTTGATTGCCAAATGACGGGTGTATGTCACTCTATAGAACAAAAAAACATCTATTTAATTGATTTATTAAATTCAAAGAGAATCATAAATTTATTAAATTTAAAATTGTAAGAAATGGCTATACTTAAGCATAGTAGTTTATGTTTATGTATATACATACTCTTTGTGGACATGAACATTCATTACACAAATAATGTTGCTTCTTGTGAACTTTACATGACAACAAATGTTTTACCTAGTCATGAAAACATAAAGTGGTCTATAACTGTCCTTGTTGATTTGGTATTTTTGTCAGAACCTTAACAAATGAATAATATGGTTTAATTAATAATCTGCTACGTGATACAAGACCAAATGTTTCAGATATTTGTCAGTGTAATTGTGATTCTTTGTTACCAGTAACCTCAAATAATCTAACAATAGTTTGAGCTTTTTTATACATATTTTTATATATAAGTTAAAAACATGCAAAATCCACCAAGATTAATTGAGGCAGTGCAGCAGCCTCTTCTCTCAAAAGTATTTCAGGAATTGAATAGTCACAAAAATAAACTTTTTAAACTTTAAAATTGAAATTACAACTCAAATAAAATTTCATACTCAGAGATATTGACAATTACACTAATAGTTACAGATTATCTGTAAAATAAATCACTATAATAAAAATCTTTAACATGATTATTCATTACATAAATAACATTATCACCACAATTTTTAATAATATTAAGAATATACCTGAGTAACAAAACATACAGTATCAAAATTTAATCTATTGCTTGAGATTATTAATACTTATTTATCTCTATACCTGTACTGTACAAATTCTGTTAGTTTGAATTAAGAATATAAAACAATGAAGCATAAACACAAGAAACAACATTATCATTATGGTGAAGTATTCATTAAAATTAGTAAAAAAAATTTTTTTTCGTAAATTAATAATATCTCACTAAAAAGCAATATAAAAAGGGCCTAAGTTTGTTAAACAGGATATTTTGGATTGTCAGCTTTACCAATAAAAGATCTTAATGGATGCCAACCTCAAAAGTATTTCCAAGAATGTTGTGTATTCCTCTAGATCCTATGATCTAGTAACTGCTATAGAGCTTAGTGCCCTTTTAGATCTCATATTTTTTATCAGCAAAGCTGACAACCCCAAACATGGTTCATACCAAACTTGGTCTTCTTTTAACATTTATTTTGGAGCATTTAATTTCAATCATAAGCTTGAGCTATAATACAATTTTTGCATCTGCATCCATCGATTTCCTGCGTGTCTTACCAGGTTGTCACTCCATCTAGTACACTCCACACCCATACTAGATGGAGTGTTATCCATGACTTAATCTAATTTAGGGTAATAAAATAAAGCTGTCAATATTTATAGTGATAAAAAGATGGTAAAATAAAGTTAAGAGTTTATCTGTAATGTGTTGACTGTACATTATTGTTATATGTACAGCTGCTTGCATATTAATGAATTACCACCTTATTTTTTTTATAATTTGGAGATACAAATCATTACTTGCCTATCATCGTAAATCAAACTTTTAATAATTATGTAGGTATGTCCCACATTAATATAATCATAATTTATAATATAATATGCAATAATATTTTTTTCTAGATAAGATTTAATGCTTTTTATTGAATGCATACAGATCACAGATTATTATTATAGTTTGTCTTTTATGTATTTCCGTTTATTTCATCTATGTACTTATGAGTCTAAGAAAAGTAGGAAGAGCTGTCTTACACCTACACACAGTATGATGCATACTAAAATGTTTAATATGGCATATCACATAATTCTAAACATCATTTCAAAGTAAAATATTATCAGCACTGTTATACTTTAATGCTTAATTCATGTAATAAAATGCATAAAAACCTTAAATTAACATTTGTTTTTTCCAGTGAATATAAAACAGGTGCAACCGCAGTCACCAAAAACGATGTTTTTTACTAAATGTCGGAATTACACAATTCACTACCACACTTCTGTCACTTGTATTTTGATCAGGTTCAGGTCGTGAATTATTTGCCGATCACAAACAAATTATTCGAAAGTGACTTCTATTATGTTGTACACATGCACGAAACGGATGATTGGTCTTGTTCAATGACACTAGTGTTCAATCTCCATGAGAGAATAATAACACTGTAATCTAATCACTCTTTTGTTATAACCAATTTTATATTCCAAAACATTAAATGTTAGTATGGACTTAACAATTTAATTATACAAAAGACGGTAAACCTGAATTTTGTGACCGCACCTTATTTCTAAATAACACACTGACATGTAAGTCTAAGTACCTACTAGGTAGCGATATCAAAAAAGTAGTAAGTAGTAACAATAAAAATACAAGAAAATAGTTGCTGACATAGATTAGCTTAACAAGAGAGTTGATGATTTGATGAAGAAGGAACTAAGTTTAAAGGCCTGTATTCACTTTGATTAGAGTAAACACGTGTGGACAGCAATTGATTAGTGCAAGTGATTAGTAATCTGCGTAGTAAAGTAATTAGAAGCGTGTTTTATTTTTTTGCGAGTGGACTGCGACTAGACTACGACTCGGAGTATGTCCTTCACTAAACACGCCTGAACAACACTGTTTAGCCATTAGCGTCGGACGTTCGCTTGTGTTGCAAAAATGGCAAAGTGGACCGAAGACATTTGCGCAGGAGTATCTTAAAACGAATGTCTTTACAATAGTAAATACCCTAACTGCAAAATTAAAGGAGACCGAAATGTGGCATTTCTACATATAAGTGAAGCTATGAACATACCGGGGTTCGGAAGTAAAGAAGTTTATACTAAAATAAGAAACTTGAGATCTACATATTCGCTAGAGGTTAAGAAAGTTAAATCGAGTACTTGCTGGTCAAAGGCTAACCACTGAATTAACTAAACACAGCCACTAAACAGAATTGAACACTACTTATACTACACACCTGCACTAATTACCCGCAATTATTAATCACCTGCACTCGCACTAATCAAAGTTAATATATGCCTTAAAATGTAGTAAAATTATTTTGTCCTTGCAGTTGTGGTTATAAATCATAGCTCGGCCTCAGCTCGGCTAGGGTGTGAGCATGTTGCGCGGGCGCAACGACATTATCGATAACAAAAAATAAATCATCGAAGGTAGGTACACGGCGGCGGTGCGGTATACAAAGGATGGTGTCAAATTTTATGTTATAAGTCATTTATTTTCCATTATTACCCCCGCCTAATACCAGCAAATTAGTGCAATGATAATTTAGTACATATATCGAAGAGAAATTTGTTTATGCGTATTCGCTCTCTGAATTTCTTTAGTGACACAATGGCTACTCCTTTGTTTTGTACCAAAACGGAAGAATTTATTCAAAATATTACTTTCCCTATGGCATCAATATACCAGCATAAACACGTGTTGTTATCAACAATTTTTTAACATTTTTCACTGAAATGAAAATAGATCCCGAAAAGTTACAAAGTGTTAATTTCTGCCGTTCTCTTGAACTTGCTGCGGCGATATGTGGTGTGAGTGTTAGAGTGGTCGACAAAATTAAAAAAAGAGTGTATAAAGGGAGAAGTTAGCTCTCCGCGAGGAAGCGTCTATCGGCTATGTACAGTAACTGCGTTAGACGACTTTGACAAAAGTGTAATTAAACAAAAATAGTGTCATCGTTTTATCGCAGCGGTGAATATCTTTCCACGGCTAAAATTTTGAGTAGATCAAAAGAAAGAATTGACGGATTCCAGTGTTCTATTTCTTCTATGCGTAAATACTCATAGAACTTGGGTACTACTCTACACAAGCTCCAGATGGTCGTAAACAATTGATGGAAAGGACTGACATCGTTTGTGCACGGCTACAATTCCTGAGAAAAGTCAAGACCCTGAGAGATAGTGAAGACACTCGATCAAGAATTTATTTAGATGAGACTTGGGTGAACCAAAATCACAGCCGCAAACGAATTTGGTTAGACAAGGATGGATAAGGCGGCTTAAACACAAAAATTGGAAAGGGGGACAGACTAATTGCTAAATATTCTTTCATCTTTTATGTAAGAAATACGACTTAATAATAATTTAATACAAAATATGATTTTCATTTAATTATGTTGTTTAAGTTTGTTATGCAGGCTGCGCAAAATATGGTTTTATACCCGAAGCCATATGGGTATTCCGTACTGTGAAGTTTCAGAACGAGGATTACCATTCAGAAAGGAATGCCGAAGGCTTCACAGACTGGTTTACAAAGCTGCTGCAGAGTCTTGAAGAACCATCAGTCGTCATAATGAACAACGCACCTTTAAAATTAAACGCAACCAAAACAGCACTTTTAAAATTGCAGGCGTCGAAGTATTACTGCGTGAAGCAGTTTTAAACGTTTCGTAAAAGAGCTGGGAAGATTGTATGAAGCATGCAGAAAAACTCCGAGAGGAAGACTTGAAGAAATTTCATCTGGCAGAAGATGATTCATGTGGATGACGATGACTCTGATGATTCTGATGTAGAATTTTAATGCAAATAGTTTTAGATTTAATTTTAAATATAATTTATTATATTTATATTTATATTTATTTTTAATATAACTTGTTACATTCCAACCATTTGTACTTATAGTTTTTTTAATACATGGATATCTAATTAATAATTTATTTTCAATCATTATTATTCTTATTTTAATAAATACGTTGTTTTATAATTTTTTTCATTTTTATCACTAACCAACATAATGACAAAATTAAATATACTAACGATAACGCTTATCGACAACAATAATGCGCATCACTATATTCGCCCCTAAGGCC